ATATCTATAAAATAAATATATATATATATATATATATATATATATATATATAACAGCTAAATATCATAAAAGTAGGGTGTGCAAACAATATATTTGGATATATTAATTTAATGACTATTCAATTTGAGTGAAATCAAAATCTAAAGGAAATATAAAAAAATTTGACCGATCAGAGTTTTGCCATAATTGAACCAACCCGTGTATTAATATAATTCAATTTAATTAGTTTGAACTTGTGCAAACTTGGAATTTAGTATTGGTCATAAAATTATTACAAATTAAGATTATATTAAGAGAAATTCTCCTCACAATTTCATTCTCATTCTTGTAGATTATGAGATTAAAAAAATAGTGGAGTCACGCTGGGTGAAGTAGACAAAAGAATCTTGTGGTTCAAACGAAATTTATTTCATTAAACCTTATTTTGTTTTTTGATTTATTTAGATTAATGAAGATCAAAACAATCCAAATATTAAAAATAGAATACTAAAAATTTTCAAAACTATAAATCAAACCGTTATTCCAACACCAAACATAATCAATTTGTTGTGTGCCAGAAAATTTAAGGTTGTAGAGTAAAAAATTAACGTTTAAACGTTGCACGAAGATGTGACAGACTTACATTAATTGAAAAGTAGTAGGATGAAACCACAAAATTTTTTATATAGAAAACCCCTAAAAAGGGAAAAAAATTGTGGGGCCTTGCTAGCCCAATCAAAGTAATTCATTATATGATTGTAAACATATAGATCCATAAGGTGGACCTAACAATAGCTTGAAGGCGGAGCCCAGGCACAGAATGTTAGTCCATTACTAGAACTCAATTCAAGAGAATTAACAAATAGGTCCAATTAAAAGAAGCCAAACCAAAAAGGAAAATTTGATGGCTAATTAGAGAAGATTTTCTTATTTGAAAATATCTTTAAATTATCATGTGTATTTTATGCAGTTGTGTAACATGTGTAAGATAATATGTTATTTTGTCACTTTGTAAACTTAAATTATAAGAATGTTGTCTATAAGTAAATATTTATGGATTGTAGTCATGTTCCATATGGAGGAGGAGTCAAATATAAGTACAAGATGTCCTGACCATGCCGTGGTTATGGGAAGGGGTCACCCCTCCCTTGTTCCCTCTTTATTTCGAAATGATTGATTGTGCTAATGTTAAAAAAAAAAAACCCTTGTTTCCATTAAATTAAGGAATGTGGATTTGAATAACTACAAGAGAAAAATTCCTTTAGAATGGTTTGCTAGGCTTCCAACCAACCATGGAAGGTTTAGTGATCATTCATCCTTTATTTACTTAGGTGAGTGAATAGAATTTGTTCTTCGTATATTTTATTCTTTCAATAATTTTTTGTTTGTCTTTTTTTTAGGTTTGTGTATTGGCCACAAAATTGTGTTTTGACTAAATCTTATACCCTAATTTTTCAAAATTTCAACAGAAAAACAAACCCTAAGGGTTGGCCAAAAGCTAGGGTTTCTCTAACCAAATCTCTGCCCAACCAATATTAGGGTTCTTAAACTCCACAAAAAATTTCCCAAAAATTTTGTTAACCTTCGTGTCTACCTAATTCTAATTTTTCATAATTTTCTCCTCAAATGATACCTTTGTGCTATCTTAAATTTTTGTTTTCAATTATACCCTACACACTTTGTTTACATATGTTTCTCTAATTAAAACCCAAAATTAAAGCAATATTCATCCAAAATTTTTAATTTTTTTTAGATGTCATCATGGCCTTCATAGCTTTTATTAGAACATAAATTTAGAGTTAACATATTTTGAACAAAGTTGACTCTGTTGTACAAGCATTGAAATTAATTCCAAGGAAAATATCTAGACAACTCCAAAAATCACAAAACTCTCCATATCATCCTCCACTTCAATCCCTATTGATTTCATGATATATTATTTACTTTGAAGAAAGTTACTAATGGTTGAAGTTAAGGATAATGTTATGGACAAAAATCCAAAATTTGCTCCTCGGACTAGCAATAATCCTATCCAAGTCCTTGAACCCTTGAATTGGTCTAAAAAACACTTTCATACTCTTCCACCATCTTAAAAGAGCCTTGTTTTTTTTTAAATTTATCATAATTGATCACTTATATACAATTCTCACAGAAATTAAACTTAGTTAAGAAACAAGTACAACGTTGGATGTAAACTTATTAAAAACACCTATAAAAGAGTGAAAATTAGTAGACTAATTTGAGTTTAGGGATCAGAGTAATGTTGCACCTGATGATAATCATATGATTATGTGATCAATCATAAGGCTAATCTAAGGAGAAAGGAACAGTTCAACGAGATCCAATAATCTAGAATAGAATGATCAATAATCATTAGGAAAAATTATGTTTTTTTTTTTTTTATGAATGTCATATAATAGTTTATGCATTTATCAAATGTGTTTGTAGATATCTATAGTAGTTTAAAAATTTTAATTCCAAGTTTCAAAACCTATAAAATTTGAATTTTCAATTTTCAACTATCATGGATAAATGATTAAAATTAAAAAAAACTAACCATTTCCTATAAAACTTATCCAAATAATTAATTTTCACCTAGAATAGTCAACCAAATTTCCCTTAGGGTGGTTATCAATAGTTCTTCAAGTGTAACCACCTCCATCTCATCCACACACTTGCTCATCCCTCCCAACTTTACTCTCTTTTATAATATCTGATAAATCTTATTACAAATTTTGTACCTTTATATTTTATTGGTAAGAATGGATTTTGGTGATGTTCTGATAATGCATTAAATGAGCAAAACTCAAAGGGATTCAGTTGTTAACTTACCTCTATAGAAAAAGGTTCAATGATCTTTTCAACTAGTTACTTTGATGAGTAATTAGCTTATCTTTTGTGTATAAATTTAATGTTTCTTGCTATTGTTTGTATTAAAAATTGTCTCCTCTATATTTTGTAATTTTTGTATAATTATTTAGCATAAAAAACATATCTCAAAAAATTTCAGATATTCTAAAAATATTCTTAAGATAATCTTTTATCATGTATAAGTATTTTCCTTATGTTTCTTGCCTTCAAGTTTACTCCCTCAAAGCCCTAAACTTAATCTAGCCCATTTGACCAAATAAGGAAGTGTAGGGTGTGGTACTCGATTTCTTAGACGCATGAGAGATGGCATATAATAGCCACTGACCATTCCTTTACAATATTATATATATATATATATATAGATATATATATTAAAACTTTTCAGATCATTATTAAGCTCACATCCCTAATATCGTCACTTCACTTCAAGGCCTAAAGCTGTCCTAATTGTTGATACCATCATTTTGAAGTTCAACCATTTACTTGACGGTTGGATTATTCAAGCCTCTACTTTGGCCACTTTGGCATTTCAATTTTCAATCTCACACTAAATATAACTCCAACAAACCTTACATTACCTTCCCAGGCCTATTGGAAAAGATTTTCACCCATATTGGCTCATTCCAAGCACTCCATATTTTGACCACATCACAAGTGATTTCAATTCAGGATCAAGTCTAAGAGATTAGAGATTATTCCCTGTAGAAGGCCAAAGGCTCCCCAAATAGATGAACAGTTTGTGATTAATGAAGTCACTTTTTTAAACCACCACAAGTTTCTCTTAAAGGTGAGAATATCTTATTTCTTCATAAATGTAGAGACTATCACTTGCCTAATTAAAAAAGTGAGATGAGCTTTTTGAGTCACCTATACCCACTGGCCAAACCCAGTAGGCCTTATTCACAGACACAAATTTATATAAAGTAATCCAACGGTCAGAGAAGGAAAGACCGTCAATGGAGGAATCAGACCATCAGCCATATATGGGAGCGTCATATCGGTTGGCAATCCCAGAGTCAGAAGGACATCTAAAGGTGACCTCGAGGCTCAGATCACCTCAAAATATGACCAGTTCATCGCAGAACCAATCAAGTAGTGTCATCACTATCAATCAACTACCAACATAGCAACCCAAAGACAATCGATTGAATGTACGAGACAATCGCTAGACCTCATATTGATCTGATAATCCCATATGTTATGTTATTATATTTTCTCTGTAATTTACTAAACAACTCCCTCAAAAATTAATGATTGTAGGATAGATCTTTAATTGTAATGTTCATGCTCCTATATCTATAAATAATTTCACGATAAAAAGGTTATGTTTTTTTACTGTTGAATATTGATCTTCTTTCTGCGCTACTCTTTAATTTTTGGGTGTGATTCTCCAATATCTTGTCAGTCAAGCTAAACTATGCTTAAACACCCCTTACTTTTAAACAAATTTTGGAACAACAAAAATAAATAATTGAATGAAAAAGAAAACATAGCATTTTCATTTTTAAATGATGAAATTATTAGATGCGGATCATACATTCAAGTAATGATAATTGTAAACACAAGTCGTATAATATGATATAATTTCTCCGCAATTCAGTTTCATGGAATGAGACTTGTGTGGAATCAGAGGAACGGGAATTACCTGTCCGAGAATCGCATGCGGCAGCCGACACCGAGCGTCCTCCATCTCCTTCCCGAGCGGCGCCGCACCAGAGATAACGATCCTTATTGAGCTCAAATCATATCTCTCCACTATCGGATTCTTCGCCAGAGCTAGCACTAATGGCGGCACCACCGCCGCCACCGTCACCTTATGCCTCTCAATCAAGCCCAGCATTGCCCCGATCTCAAATTTTGGCATCATCACCACGGCCGCACCCGCCCTAAGCGAGCAGAGCAAAACAGAGTTGAGGGAATAGATGTGAAACAGAGGAAGCACGCAGAGCACCACGTCGTCGATTCTCAAATAAAGATTCGGGTTTTCACCATCAACTTGCTGCGCAATGCTCGATATCAAGCTTTTATGAGTCAGCTCCACCCCTTTGGGCAATCCCGTCGTGCCCGACGAGAACGGCAGAGCCACCGTATCGTTGGCGTCGATCGATACCTCAGGAACCGCCGCCTCGTCGGCGGCGGACAGAACGGAGAAAGGTAAACATCCCGCCGCCGGATCGTCGACGGTGATAACAATGAGCCCGGCGCCGAATTCTTTCCAGCCTCGGAGTTTGTCCACGTATATAGACTGAGTGATGACGATCTTCGCGCTGCAGGAAGTGAATTGCTTGTGGATTTCAGCTGGCGTGCAGAATGGATTAGCAGTGGTCGCGGCAGCGCCGAGAAAAGAGGCCCCGATGAAGGTGAAGACGAACTGTGGACAGTTTTGGAGGAGGATGAGAACAACGTCGCCCTTCTTGATGCCGAGGTGAGCGAGGCCGGCAGCTGTACGGCGGCAGATGAGGTGGGTCTCGGCGAAGGTGTAGGTTTGGCCGGTCGGGCCAGCGATGAGGCAGGGGTTGTCGGCGAACTCTGTTAGTTTCTCAAAGCAATAGGTGTGGAGGGGAACATCGTTGTGGATGGGAATGTTGGGGAGCCTAGACCGGAAGATGATGGTTTCTGCCTGTGGCGGCGGCGGCGCTGAAGCAGGCGGGGAGACCTCGTGAGGGTGGAGCTCGGGGGAGGCAATGGAAATCATGTTGAGCGTTGTGTGAGCGAGTTAAAAAAGGAGCAATTTTTAAAGCGTCGTTCTTGATAGCGAATCTATGTACTTGTCAGAGAACGGAAATCATAGATCCTTCTGGGAGTCTCTCTATCAAAACTTAAGCATTGATTCTGTTGATTGAAAACGGGAATGCAGAACAACGTAACTACAAGATGCAGGTTCGCAACAGCATAAGGAGAGTGAACGTGGAGGGTACCTGGGAATGCATGCAGCGCAGAGCACGAAAAATAAGAGAACGTGGAAGGCTAAATTTAGAAGTTTTGGAGAAGAAGCTGGTAAAGAGCAGATTTAACTGTCGGCCTAAACTGAGAGGTGAACTTTCGGAGGGAGGGAAGATGGAGATCAGGGGGGGGGGGGGGGGGAAAAGGGAGAGGGGGGGGGGGGGGAGGTGAGAAAAGAGAGAGGTAGACGGGGAGTTATAGCGGCCTGTAAGATTTGGCAGCGTCGGAAAGCAGAGGATGAGATAAATAAATGCGGGTGGTGGGAGTTAGGTGTCCTGCATGGTGGAGGTAAGCTCGATGGGTTAGCGGGAGATGTGGAAAATAAAGGAGCACACGACAATGTCACCTTCATGAAAATGAAAACAGCGTATTTTGCACAGGGCATACAAAACGGGGGTGTCGAGCAATTTCTAGTCACGCACATTTTGCATGAACAAATGCAAAAAAAACTCAACAAATATAACTTTATCTTATTAAAGGTACACCATTATAAAAATGGACAACCAGAAGTAAAGTTTTTTTTTGTGCCATTTAATTTAAGAAAGTAATTTTTTTTTCTAATCATTAGTGTGGCATATCAAGAGTAAAGTCGGATTAGAATTTGTTTTACTTTTAAATGAATTTTGAATTTTATTTTAAATTGCATCTTCTTTGTTGCTTAGTTTTGGTCCTTTGGCATTGCACTTGCTCTACTTTTTTGGGTCATTTGTTTCACTTTTGGTATACAGAGATACTTCAAATGCAGTTTAATTTGATTTTATATTATTTTAATTTTTGTAGTGTATACACATATACTGAATTGTGAACATGGAACCGGAACCACCCGCCTGCATGGCCGAACCAGCCCGATCAATTGAAGTGACCAAGCCGGGCCGATCAGCCGAAACAGGAGAGTGGCCGAATCAGAGAGAAGTGGTGGAATCGAGCTGATCAGCAGAAGCGGCTGAATCAAGTTAGCAAACTGAAATCAGTAGTGGAGGCTAAAATCTAGCCTAAAGTATCAGCCGATCAATATTAAATGCCTTTGTCAATTTTCGAGGCTTAACCCATCATCCAAAACAAAGGATAGTGAACACATCGCCGACATCAGATTGTGCATCAGGTGTAGATCTTGTCGACAATAATGCTTTCATATCAAGGATCCCAGATGAGGCCTGCTAATGAAAGAATAAACAGTGCATTCAATATTTTAAAATTAATGGTCTCTCATGAATAAAATGAAAGAGGCTAGGGGAGAGAAAGGGGGACTTTTGGACCTTATCTATCTCTATCTCTCTCCCCATCTCTATCGCTCTTATCTCTCTCTTTTTTCCTTAAGGAGTCGGGAAAATATTAAATGCCTTTGTCAATTTTCGAGGCTTAACCCTTCATCCAAAACAAAGGACACTGAACACATCGTCGGCATCAGATTGTGCACCGGGTGTAGATCTTGTCCACAGTAATGCTTTCCTATCAAGGATCCCAGATGAGGCCTGCTAATGAAAGAAGAAACAGTGCATTCAATATTTTATAATTAATGGTCTCTCATGAATAAAATGAAAGAGGCTACGGGAGAGAAAGGGGGACTTTTGGACCTTATCTCTCTCTATCTCTCTACCCATGTCTATCACTCTTATCTCTCTCTTTTTTCCCTAAGGAGTCAGGAAAATTCTGGAGGCTTGCATCAAGGATTACTATCTATCTCACTCCTCATTTTTTGTTTTAGTTCGATGCTATATCCACAGGGATCTCCTACAAGATTGTATGGTATCACAAGCTATAAGGAATCCTACTCCAAAATGGATTCAACATGCAATTATCAAGATTGTTGTAAAATAAGTTTAGTTCTTCTTTTTGTCTTAAATTGATAGTAAAAGAAATTACAGAAATCACAAAGACAAAGAATGGGATGCGTGGGATGAGAGCAGGATGGATCAAACAATAAACACTAATGGGATCATGTTGACAGTGGTATGAGAAAGCCAGATCAACACAACGAATTTATCTATGATAAAAGTAGTGAGATGGGGACAGTGAAAGTAGGAGAAGTTGCAGGCCAAGTATGACATGGGGTAATTGTCGTTGCATTTAGTTATTTTTATGAGATTGAGGTTGATGCGATCACAAGGGTTTCAGAGGTTCTACAGATGCACGAGGGCCAGCTTTCAATAGTTAAAATTTGCTTGATTTGAACAAATTCAGGATACATTGAAAATGAACTATTACCTATATTATAAAACCCTTAAATTTTTATGGATTTTTTCTTCATTCAATTAAATACTTAAGAATTTAAAATCTTTACATTTTGAATGTGGTATATGCTTATTATCCAACCAACCCTTTTTCTAATGGATACTCAACAACAAATTTTCATCATTTGACACGAATCTTGAGGTATGCCATGAATCTTGATGCAATTTTTTGAGCAAGAAACATTCAAACTTCAATATGGTATAGTATATATCACGATTCTTCATTGATGAAGAACATGGTATGGTATATATCACTATTATTCATGGTTTTGGATCTCTGAATGTATGATGCAGTTGATCTCTAGTTTTTGGTGGATTTTGTTAAGGCTATATGGACATTAAATGGTTTAATACTCAAAATGCCTCAAATGCTTAATATAACTTTGTTAATTGCAATCATTAATTTTAGCCTAAAGATGATCTCCTCTTTTCTTTTATTTCATAATGTTGTGAAGCAAATGGGTCCCAAACTTTTTGCAAAAATATGAACTTCAACATGTTTTTGTTTCATGTAAAACAAAAGGTGTAGTAATGTAGATGTCACTATAATTACCACAATTTAGAATTACATGTTGCGTACAAAGAAAAACAAACTTCTGTGTAACATCCTTATACAATATGACCTATAGCTTTGAATCATTTTTTAGATTATTTTGAGAACTATTTTTGTGCTCTTCCCCTAACTAATGTCCTCTCTTCTCCTTACTCCACAAGTTCAAAAATCTTAAATTGAAGCTAAATGCTTCAAGTTTGAACTATCAATGTTATTAACGAATCTTCCAAAGATTAGGAGCACATTCAATGGTCTGTTTCAACTAACTCTACTGATCTCAGATTAAATCTTAGTCTTCAAGATAACAATAAAAAATTTTATGAGCCCAAGCAATGTTAAGGCTTATGGCTATCTCAACAAGACATCCAAGTGGATCTCTTTAGGGGAGGATGATTTACTTTTTTTTCTCAAAGATTTCAGGTGGAAAAAAAAATATTAATGTAATTTCTATGACGAAGTTGTGTTCTTTTCTAAGACAGATATTGCCATTACAATCATTCATCATATTAAAAAACTCTTTAATACATATACTGATCCTTCTTATGGTTGGAACTCCATTTTTACAAGTGCATGATTCCTTCTCGTCACTTTTTTGCTCGTCTCTCCTTCGATAAATGAAGAAATTAAATGCAATATTTTTGTTGACCTTAAGCATGTCTCTTTTGGGCCTGATGATTTTACCTTTCCTTTTTAGTTGGACTTTCATCAGAGATGCAATTTGTTATGTTGTAAGACACTTCTTTCTAGCTTATTGAAGTGTTTAGGGGCTCATCAAACACAAAAGCTTGAGGAATGATGGAAACATTGGGAATACTTTGATTTTGTGGATAGTGCAAAAAGATATTAATACTAGAGATACTTTCAAATAAAGGATGATGTTGCTATGAAACCATTGCAAGATTGGTCCTTATTTTTCTAGAGAAATGACTTCTACTTTATCCTAATAGGATATTAAAATTCTGTTAAAATTGCTCCGTGGAAGTTTAATAAGGAAAAAATGTTTTCCATGTGCAAAGTTAGTGTGTTTCCATTTGTAGAGGACTTACTGGAAGAATTTGGTGTTACTTAAATTCATAAGAATAGTATTAGGCATTTTAGATGAAGGATTGAAATAAATACTTGCCCGAAAAAAGTTCGTCTTGATTTATAAAGAGTGGTATTATCTGTGGTAAGATAAACACTTATCTTAAAAGCAATATTAGATAAACTATCTTTATTCCAAACTTTTAAGAAAATAAAAATTCACCAAGTAAAGGATTTTCTTGAAGTCTTCTTCAATTTTAGGAAAATCACATACCAGTGCTTGAAATAAATTGGTCATCTTTGTGAAAATTAGTCGAGCGTTCTACACTTGATCATAGTCTTCTACGCATGAGTGTTTTAAATGGAAGGATACCTCATACAAAGTAAAAAAGTTCAAACACATAATTGAGTTTTCAAATCCTTTTTGGTTGTAGCTAAAAAAGTGTTGTAAGATGGCACTTAAATCCATTGATCAACTGACAAGATGCATCTCCCGCTCATTGTCACATGAAAAAGATCCTCCAGGAAAAAGGGAGAATTCTTCTTCAATATTATTAATCATGTATAAGGGGCGCTTCTCATTTATACCATTTATGCACTAATGAGATATTCTCAGCTTAAAACACATGGAAAGTGGTCCAACAAAAAGCTTGTTCCAGGGGACAAGCTCCCAGGAATCAATGGACCTAACGCTAGCTTTGATTAGAGGAGAACAAAGGAAGAATAAAGAAGGGGCAAGTAGTTTGGATTAGTAAGGAAGGTACTTTTTATGTAAAGGAGAAAGATATGAAAAATGTTTATAAGATTTAGAAAGACGAGTTAAGATGGTAGAGGTGGAGAGATGTTGGCATGCAAACCCCCATCATAAGCTTGAAGAATAATAATAATGATAATAATAATAATAATAATAATAATAATAATAATAATAATAATAATAATAATAATAATAATAATAATAATAATAAGGTGGGATAACTTAAATGGTGAGTTGTTAAAAAGGTTGAAAGAGGCGGCTAGAATGGGCATAAACTCTAAATGATGCTTTATATAAATCATTATCAGTGTTTAGAATACATATCAAAGGAGAGAATTTTTGTTAGGATCATAAACAATCATATTTTTATGTAGAGTATGAATATCAATGTGCTTATAAAATATTAGATTAGAGTCAATTTAAATTGAGTTTTATTGAATTAATGCAATAAACAGACAAAGTTTAAACACAATGTGTTTCGGTGCAGTGTTTATTGCAACTATTTCAAGAAACTGTTGTTTAAAATATATACATCAAAAATAATTTTTTTTTTTTGGATTTAAATTACATTGAGATTAATCAAAACATAATTGAACAGTCTTAAATTATATTGAAAATTAGGATAAAATAATTTAAATTGATACAAGTGATTGGCTTTAGATTTGTGATCGTTTTGTGATTATTTGAAATCTAGAGTTATGTAATCGTACAATCAAAATATTCTTGATCAGATTTTCCGCGAATCGAACATAGAATGAAGCACATATCACCAATTAGAGCACTATGAGAATAGACAAAGCTTTATAGAGGCTGGGAAAAACAGAGGCCAAATATTAATTAATCATTGGCATATTATTTATTTATTTATTTAATTCAATCTCAGAACAATTAAATTGATAGTTTAAAATTGTTAAAATCCTTTACCATAATATTACAAATTTCAAAATTGATTTAAAATTTTCTATGAAATTCAAGGTTTACTGTAGGCTCAATTTAGAAACCCCTTGGGAAGTCATTTGGAACAATTAGGGAAGCTGAAAGATTTGCATGATATTAAAGGGGTAAGAGTGCCAGATTCAAACAAATTTAGAGAGAAAGTACACGTGAAAGGATAATTTGAAGGAACATGGCACTGCAACATTTAACATTTCTGCTTGTACATCGAAGGAGAAATAAGTTAAATTTTATTGTTAAGTGAATACAATTACATTAATTTCAGTGAAAAAAGTGTAGATGAAAATGAAAAGATAGGCTTAAATGGCAAGCGCAATTCTACCACAATTCATTTAAGCTGCCAATTATTTTCAAAATACCGTTTATGATAAAATACTCTAATTGTTAAGTGAATACAATTACATTAATTTCAGTGAGAAAAAGTGTAAATGAAAATGAAAAGATAGGCTTAAATGACAAGCGCAATTCTACCACAATTCAGTTAAGCTGCCAATTATTTTCAAAATACCATTTATGATAAAATACTCTGAACTTGTTTCTAGTATATGTTGACAGATGACATGGCAGAAGATAATTCTCGACTTCTGGGATCGCCCTCTTCGAGAGCTACACCGCGAGGATCTTCCCAAACTAGCAATGGAAGCACACCTGCTGAGCTCCAGGCCTTCGCGACACCGCCAGTGGCTTCTCCGACAATGATGGCGAAAATAGCATCAAAGCCACCAGCTCCAGGAACTCCAGCTAGCAGAACACCATTCATATTCATTGTGGCATCTAAAAGCTGGGTTTGTGATACTGGTTCTATCTGCAATATTTAAAATAATAAATTTGTATATTGAAAAAAAAAGTTTCAATGTTGTAAGGAGGATCATGGAAACAGTCATTTTTGGCATATCCACATGCAGCATAGCCCAAAACAGTCATATAAAGAATGAAAGCAAATAATATTTAGCATTAGAAAATTAGATGACCTAGACCTACATAAGAAAGAAATGCTAGAAAAATAATCATTCGTTTGCAGCAAGTATCAATGTAAAACTAGTCTTCTCAACCAAATGAATAAATAAAGTGATGTAAGAGAACCTTCTCGAAGTAAAACATTAATTTCCAACAATACTCGGTTAGATTTAGCTTCTGGCAAGGGTAAGAAAATTGTTTCTTTGCCCAAAGAGTAAGTTAAGATATAGAATTCATTAAAACTACTATACATATTAAATAAAGAAGAGATGTCCCTCAATAATATATCAAAGAAATAAATAAGTCACCGACTATCAGTTAATATGGTAAAATAAGGAACATACAGGTACACCAGCAGCTTTTCCCATCTGCTGCAGAAGAAATCTAATCTCAAAGAAAGTATCTCTTGCTCCAAGGAGTGACTTCACAATTTCCTCTTGATAATGATCAACAGCTTGCTCCAGCCACTAAACAAACAATAGGATAATTGCATTTTTAGGAACTATAATTAGATGGCATAACGTTGAATAAAAATAAAAGTTTTGAAACACTTTCAGATTCAGTAAGATACTTCTCTATAATGAACACTCTTGAAATGAACATCACATTTTTCACAAGTTCTACTTGCAGTTCATTACATAATTGTTCTAGAATCATTGCCGAAAATCTACCGCTTAGTTAGCATCTCTCAACCAATAAACTACTTATCTTCTTCAGTAAGAAAACAATAGAAACCATATTCCAACATTTTACATGAGTACAGAAGTAGGGCACCCACCAAATTAGAAAAATTTTAATGATCTCCGGGATCAATTTGGTTTTCACAAAGTATTTGAGAATTGAAAAGGGGTAAAGAGTTCAAAATGTGGAAACCTAGGTTTGGCAAGCATTAAATAAGCATTTCTAATCTCAGATTAAAGTATAACACAGTTCTTCTAAAAAAGGGGAAACAAATGCTTTGCGGATACAACAAGCAAATTAACAGTGAGAATGGAAAGAGCCATTATGCCAAATCTGTCCTTTCAGTTGTTGCATGTTCTAATAAAGTTTCAAAAAGAGCACAAACCGCTAAAGGAACCATATATGAGAAGTTTTCCCCGTCACTTTGAAATAATGTATTATTTTTACATTTTATCATCATTCTAATTTTATTTTATTTTATTTTCATGCCTGTTTTGCATAATCTTGTTTGGGTCCTGTCAATCAAAAGTTTGGAAGTCTCATGACGTCTTCCACATCTAAGGAATTGTATCATGAGCATTGGGCCTGCCCACCATGTCAAAAAAGACACATGAGTGGTGTAAATAACACCGTTAGATCTTTTTCTCGAAAGAGAAGTGTGTATGGGTCACATGCACAACAGAAACACAAATTTTCCTAATGCGCCCAAAAAAAACATGTATGGGTATTTATTTTGACAGCCCGGAGTCTTTCTCCCCACCATGGCAAAAAAGATGCGTATGAAGGGTTTCACTTGCACAAAAATTTACTAAGCATAGAATCTTCCCGCAGTGATGAAAAAAGTGTATAAAGGTACGTAATTTTGAAGTTTTGACGAGTTTGCATTTTTTTACTTTATACCTTATAGAAGGTGGCACCGGCAAAACATGTTTGCATGGATTTTGAGGATGCACAATTTTTATGTTTGGAGAGAGAATGAGAGGATGTGATTAAGTTTGTTTATTTACTTTTTTTAGAGAGGAAGGATTGATGATGTGAAAGTTGCCAAATCAGGAGCTGGAGAGGAAGGGGTTGTTAGGCATGGCGGTGGTTGATGGAAACAGGATTGAGGGCAGGTGGTGGTCGCCACTCACCAAGAAGTGTATGTGAAAGACGGGAGTGTGAGCTGGGTCGACAGCTGTTAAGGATTGTAGGATCAATCTCATGCATGATATTAGGAAGTAATTAAATGCAAAATCAATCATATGCATAATATTCAAATGAAATCAAGAAATTAGTGTATAATTATGAGTTTTCTATTAATTATAAATGTAATTATAGAAAAGAAATCAATAGCGCTAATTGTTCTAATATGATGTAAATAACCTTGATTGCATAAGCATAAATTTAGGCATTACTTTTGTTCTTATTTTACTCCTATTTCCTATTCTAAATATTAAAATTCTTGTATAAATATTAGCCCTCTTTGTACAATGAAAAGAACAAGAGATTCCTACACTATTTTCCAACATGGTATCAGAGCCAACAAGATTATGAGCCCTACCATCTCCTCTTCTTCTCTTGTAAAATCTCGAAGCCGCCGCTCATCGACGGCCTTCCCCACGCCAAAACCCCCATTTATCTTCTCTCTATTTCGAAATACATGGCAGACAAAACTCAAAATTCAGTCAAGCCTGAATCTAGTAAATTCGATAATCTAAAAATTTTGCTTCCAAAGCCAACCATGCGGATGTCAATACATCAACGAGTTCTGCACCATTCACCCTTACAGTCAAACAATATCAAAGTCTCATGTCACTACTTGCAGAGAGCAAATCTAATTCGATGGCTACTCATATTGGTAGTACATCATTCATGAGTGATATCTCTGGTAAAACTTTTTGTGACTCTATTTTTGACAACGAAATGTGTTGGATTCTTGACACAGGAGCCACATATCACATGATATATTCAGCCAACCTATCAAAATCCAACGTCACCAATCGAAAAGTTCACTAGACTAACGGGGCTACTGCAACTGTCACGCACATAGGCAACATCCTTTTTGCTTATTTCGTTCTACAAAATATTCTGTCCCTTCCTTTAAATTAAATTTGATTTTATTAGCAAATTTGTATTTGATTCACAATGTCTTGTCCTTTTTAATAACCACACTTGTATGCTACAGGACCAACTATTGGGAAAAATGATTGGGAAGGGAACTAAAAGAGGACTCTACTACCTTGATACTCAACAAAAGAGCAAGTGCAATGTTGCTACGGTACCATCTCCAAATGTCTAGCATAAGGCCACCCATCGAATAAAATTTTCAGCTTGTTTCCTTTCCCAATCATAGACAAGAAAATTTGTAATGTTTTTTATTGTTTAATTTGCCCATTGGCTAAGCAAACTCTTTCATCTTTTCAAACAAGTTTCATTCGCTCAAAAACATCTTTTGAATTAATTCACGTTGAAATTTGGGGAGGATACCATGTTCCTTCAATCACAAGAGCATGGTATTTTCTCACAATTTTTTATGGTTATACTCGATGCATATGAATTTATTTGATGAACCATAAATCAGATGCACATTCATACATCATCAAGTTTATAAACCTCATTGAAACACAATTCAATCTAAAGGTCAAAATCATTCGAAGTGATAATGGTCGTGAATTCATATTGAGGAATTTTTATCTCGACAAAGGCATCATTCACCACTCCAATTGTGTCTCCACTCCGCAAAAAAAATGGCATAACTGAAAAAAAAACATCGTCACCTACTCAACATAGCCCGAGCTTTATTGTTTCAAGCTAATTTACCCAAAAAATTTTAGGGAGATGCAATCCTAACTGCCACCGACCAAATTAACCGAACACCAACACCCCTTCTCCAAGGAAAGACTTTTCGAAATGTTCTTCCAAACACAACCCACGTATGATCAGTTGCGCGTGTTTGGGTGTCTTTGTTTTGCTTCAATACACTATCAACGACCAACCAAGTTTGATCTTATAGCCATTCGATGTCTTTTCTTAAGATATCCATACGCTTAAAATGACTATAGAGTCTACGACCTTTCAACTAGGAAAGTTTTTGTATCACGAGATGTTCTTTTCCATTAAAACACTTTTCATTCCCCTTCTTTCGCTACAGATAAAGTTCCAATTCTGCACTTCACCACCCACACCGACATGCCTTCATTTGATGAATTACCTCAAGAAGATATTCCATCTTCTCAAAACAACAAAATTCGCCCTCAAGAGACTCCTTCACCTTCACTCACTCCAAATTTATCCTCATAACAACTTACAACTCCAAACCAAAAAATATCATCACCACAACCAATGAGAACAGCAAAAACGCCTAACTATTTGCGCGAGTATCATGTTGGTATTTCTCTTCCCTCACGACACCCCCCAACATCAAACTACGTGTCGGCCAAAGCTACAAGTATCTTCTATCCATTAAACAACGTCTTGTCATATGCTAACTATCGCATAAACATCGTGTTTTTACCACTACTCTTTCAATTGAAAAGGAGCCAAGCACTTTTGTAGAAGTTGCTCGAGATCCAAAATGGCAGGTTGCTATGCGAGAAGAACTTGACGAACTCAATGCCAATGACACATGGTTCCTTGTACCATTACTGCCTGGAAAAAGGCAAATGGGTATACAAAATCAAACTTCGTGCAGATGGGACAGTTGAACGCTACAAGGCCAGATTAGTGGCAAAAGGGTATAATCAAATTAAAGGGCTAAATTACCATGAAACATTTGCCCCTGTAGCAAAGTTGTAACTGTTCGCCTACTCCTTGTGTTAGCTTCAACTAAGCAATACATCTCCACCAACTAGATGTCAATAATGCTTTCTTGCATGAGGACCTCGACGAAGACGTATATATGTCGCTACCTCGTGGCCTCAAACGAAAGGGAGAGACTTGAGTTTGTAAACTCCACAAATCATTATATGGTCTCAAACAAGCTTCACAACAATGGTTCATCAAGCTTTTCACTGCTCTAAAGCGAGCCAATTTTATGCAATCAAAGGCAGGCTATTCCTTGTTCGTACGATCTCAGAATGGTAAATTCATCTCCTTTCTTATATATATAGATGATGTCGTCATTGAAGGGAACGATTTACAAGAAATTGAAGATGTCAAAATATTCTTGAGGAACAATTTCAAATTAAAGGACCTTGCACAATTGAAATATTTCCTTGGTAGTGAGGTTGCACGATCCCAGAATGATATTGTGCTTTCACAGCGAAAGTATGCTTTTGAAATACTCGAGAATGTCGGGTACATCGGTGCAAAACCAGCCACTTTCCCTATGGAACAAAACTTATCTCTTAGCAAATCAAAAGGAGAAGTCAGTGATCCATTATCATGCCGAAGACTAGTTGGGAGATTAATCTACTTGACTACCAAATGTCCTGACTTGGCATATGCAATTCATATTCTAAGTTAATTTACGGACAAACCACGAGTGCCACACTTAGAAGCAACCCATCGAGTCCTACATTATGTAAAACAACAGCAGGAAAAGGAATTTTCCTCTCAGCAGAAAGCTCAGCCAACTAAATGTCTTTTGTGATGCAGATTGGGTCAGGTGTCGTGACACTCGAAGATCAGTTACTAGTATTGTATCTTCCTTGGGAGTTCATTAATTTCTTGGAAAACCAAGAAACAAATCACAGTAGCACGTTCTAGTGAAGAAGCTAAATATCGGTCCACGGCCGCTACCTGTTGCGGGATTATTTGGCTAAGAACAATTTTGCAGGATTTGATGATCATGCATTCACATACT